GGCAGGTTAAGGTGGCAACTGCCTCCACAGGTTTACCCACGCCCGGCCCTGCCGGATAACACGCTTGCTTACATGCAGGTGCACTGTGCCCACCCCCACTCCCATCAGGTGCCCTTTGTATCTTCTGCCACCTGTTATCCAAAATACCTGAGTGCTGTACTCAAACCTCATGCTGTGGGTGTTACTGCCCCTCCATCCTCTTCCAAACACAGCACATTTCAAACAGACTGAAATGGACTAAGTCAGGAAGAATTAGATCTACTAGAACCAAACTACAAGATTGAAGCACCTGCAGGCAAACCAGACAGTCCTGAGTCGGTGCCGACCCTAGCACCTGCCAGCTCTGCGTGTTTGTGCACATCCTTTCCTCCTCTAGACCATGCCTTCCTCATTTGTAAACCACGGATAATAGGAGTAGTCACTTGATGTGCAGTTTTGAAGATTAAACAAATGAGAAAATGCATATGAAGCGCTTAGCACAAGGCCTGGCTCCTAGTAAGTGCTCAATAAATGTCAGTTACTCATTTATTTCTTGCCTACTTTTACTTCCAGTAAAGGTTGCCAAACTGATGTGTATGACTTTCAGAATCATTGCAAATCTAATCTAGACTTAAGCTCTGCTCACAGATCTGTTCTTTGAAAAAGCCACAAAATTCTTTTGTAATTCATGATCTCCTTATTGTTTTTTTTATCTGCTATATTTAGCTCTTAAATTTCATATCTCAGCTTGAAATCTTAAAGTCATCCTTCCAAAAATACAAGGGGTTCAACCAATGGTATTTAATCACTGAAAAAACCAGCAAATTTGTTTTTTGAATAACAATAGGTCAGAGATGGAACTAATTTCAATAACTTCAAAGATAAATAATTGTACTTCATGTAATCAAAAGGTCCAATTTGACAAGACAATCCTAAAGACTAGTTGTTTCGGTTCTACCTCTTTAATCTCTGGGAAAACATCTCAGTTCTTTCTGGTAGGTCTTAAGACCTAAGGTACGTCTCTTGGGGACTCTGGTCCTTTCTGGTTGGGGTCCAGGAACAACTGTCTCCCCCAAGCTCACAGTTGAAATTATTAGTGTCCATCTTATAGTCTTGAACACCAGTTACTTATTTCCAGATGGCTGCCCCACTGTCTAAGGTTAATCCAAAAACCTCTTTTACACATAATAATATATTCACTTAATGTTTACTATGTGCCAGGCACAGTTCTAAATGCATTTTGTGGACTAGGTCATCTTATCATGATGATATCTCTGTGAGATAGATACTTCATTATCATCCCTCTACACGGGATATCTCTACTTTAATAATTTGCCTACGAATGACCTAGCCAACACGTGGGAGAACCAGGATTTGAACCCAAGGAGTCTGGCTACATAGCTGCTCTTTCCCGCTAAACCATACCACCCCTGAGAGAAGAGGTGAAGTTTATAACCAGGATACAGCTTGAACAGAAATCCCGACTCCACTCTTTCAAAGAAGCACCCTTGCTTCCATGGAACATTCTGTCCTGACCCTGTCACTCTGTTCTTCCCAGCCTTTTCTCTGGGGTATCCTTTGCCAAAAATATGAACAAAACACACTCACAATGATATCCCTCTTATCTCTGTCAAACAGAGCTGCAAAAATATTTGAGGCAGTGTGGCTGAGACTTGGAGGATGAGGCTCCAAACCCACAGTCAGCACTAACTGGCTGGGTGCCCTTGAGCATGTGCATTCATGTCTCTATCTTTTGATGCTATATCAGCATTTTCGATGCGGAACATGCCAAACCGCCTTATAGGGCTTTTGTGGGGATTACATGAGCTAATCCATGTCTTGTGTCCATCAGAGTGCCTGGCTCCATCAGCAAGCTGTTATCATTAAAGAAGATCAATAATAGCTATTATGACAATAGCCAAACTGTGGAAGGAGCCTCGGTGTCCATCGAAAGATGAATGGATAAAGAAGATGTGGTCTATGTATACAATGGAATATTACTCAGCCATTAGGAATGACAAATACCCACCATTTGCTTCAACGTGGATGGAACTGGAGGGTATTATGCTGAGTGAAGTAAGTCAATCGGAAAAGGACAAACAGTATATGTCCTCATTCATTTGGGGAATATGAATAATAGTGAAAGGGAATATAAGGGAAGGGAGAAGAAATGGGTAGGAAATATCAGAAAGGGAGACAGAACATGAAGACTCCTAACTCTGGGAAACGAACTAGGGGTGGCGGAAGGAGAGGAGGGCGGGCGGTGGGGGTGAATGGGTGATGGGCACTGAGGGGGGCACTTGACGGGATGAGCACTGGGTGTTATTCTGTATGTTGGCAAGTTGAACACCAATAAAAAATAAATTTATTATTAAAAAAATAATAGCTATTATGATTATTGACCATGCAGTCCCCAACTGTGAGCAGAGTTGAGAAGGGCACATTCAGAAAAGACGCAGAGAGAGGCCAGGTTGTAACCTAAGCTCTCTGCGGCTCTGCCCCTTGCCAGTCCCTGTGCGGGAGGAGGGTGGGCTGCCTGAGATGGCCCACAGCCCCCCTGGGCGCCCCGTAGCAGGAGATGATCACTAAGTAGGAGGTGGTGGGAGGGCCGCGTGAGAACTTAGACAGGGAAGCTAGGAATCCTTCTGTGAATCAACTCCACTCCATAAGCAGTCACTTTCAGCCCAGATGCATTTCTTGTTCCAGGTTAGCAGGTGCTGAAAATT